AGTCAGTCAGTCGCATTGTGTAGCGTAGCGTAGAAGAGTCTCTTCTGTAGGGGTGTGCACTTAGAACCGAACGTATACATCCCATCCCATCCGGCGAAAACCCTCAGAATAGTGGAACAGTTCTGAAGTCGTAATTACAATGTGTTTTTCATTGAACGACAAAAACAGGCACAGTAAAAACGCGCTTTTGTCGCGCCAAGTTCCCAAAAAAGACTATCCAAAAAGCGTGCAGATTACTGTACATATATAATTGCACGTGAAGTAAAAACGCTCACAGCCTTAAACAAACCCGTTTGGTTATAATACACACAGTATATATATATACACAATACATTGCATAGTACATTTGTTGATTTGTTGCTCGAATTTGCCAGAACCAGGTGAAGGCCAAGGCTTCGAAGCCAAAGGCAATGCCGTGCCTTGGATCATGGAATTCGGATCTTCCAAATTTATGTGGCCTTCAAGCTGCTTTTTCAGCAGACACATCCATCATTCATCACAACTCCTTGGTGTTGGCACAGTCTATGTATATAAGAACATTCTTCCGCTTTCGGTTCGTTGATCTTCGTATTCTTAGAAGAGAAGTCCCGATTTTAAAGACAGTGATGAAGTCAAGTGACAGCGATGCGAGAGCTTCTTAGAGCTCTAGTTGGACCCTGAGAAACTCGCTGGACCTGTTTGGAGCCCCTGCACTTTCTGATCCCACTTGAGGCAACCTCCGAAGACGCCACCGCCAGGGCCAGTGGCCTGGGAGTTGCGTTGCTCATGGAGACTAAAGAAGTAAGAGGTGTACAAATCATGGCAATGCGTTATTGAATATATTATTGCATCCATGTAGACTCTGACGAAGGAACCTGTGAAGTATCTAGGTCGAGGAAAGGCGCTAGGTGCTGTGCTTCTTTATGTCAGAAATTGAAACGTTGTTGTGGCAGCGGGTGATTGTTTCTTGCAATACATTATGGGGCAGCTACAAAGGTTCCACAAATGCATCAGGGCATGTATGTTTTGGGCAGTCAGTTGGTCGCGTGGACTGGCTGCGCCTGCACAGGGTCGTCTACTCGTTGCCGAAGCCTCCCCCGCCTCCGACTCTGGCCACACCTGTGGCACCGCCCCCACCGCAAGGCACTGCGCCAGTGGGAGAAGCTCAATTTTTTTCCCCAGATAGCTGCAGGCTATAGGGGTGTTAACTTCCCAATGGTGTG